TTTTAAAATTATATTACACTTTTACATACACATCATATATGCATGTTTTAGTTTTGAGTAATGCCATATCGATTTTTGAGTTACACTATTACAAAAATTTTATCCCCGTGTGGGGGCAGGGGCTTTGACAATGAATATGAAGGGAAATTGAGGTTGGAGGCGGACGAATATGTCTTGCATATTCCTCATTTTGTTGTCATTCATCTCTAAATATATAAAATTTATCATACATCTATTCCTATGTACTTAAGATATTGCTAGATGTATATATTGTATACATTTATGATAAACCAAGTAAATTAAGGAATAATAAATAAATATAAAAACTAATAAATTTATATCAATTTTCGGTTAGGGATCGGAGGAATAATGAATTTAGAGCATCACTATCCATGATTTTTACAAGATTTTTTTTGTATATTTTAACGCTTATGTGGAGGTGAGGGCATGGGAGGTGAGCGGAGAGAGAGAATTTTACATTATTACAAATACATATTTTTTTTAAGATTCATTAGAGAGAGATTAAAAAAAAAGTCAAGTGCGAATTGGACACGTATATATTACTTATTGTTAATTTTTTTTTGTCAGATGTTTTTTTTTTCTTTTTTTCCTCCCATTTTTCATCTTTCCTCTTCATTCTCTTTTCTACATGTCTTCCAACACACAAAAAAAAAAAAATTTAAAAAAATTAAAAAAAAATTAAAAAAAAAAATCCTAAAAAATTTATACTCTTGAAAATGATCTTAATTCCATAGTTATTGGAGTCCATATCATTAAATCCAAGCACAGTTATATATATATTTTTAAATGCATGTGACTCGAATAAAAAGTATTTGATAAATCTTTTATATTCATCCTTTTTAAATTCATCACAAACTATTGAAACTAATTAAATGAAATTACATCCGCATACAACCTTGCAATTCAATTAGAATATTAGTCTAGCAAAAGGGTGCTGCAAAATTATATTTATTTAGTCTTTATTTATTTATAATTATTTGAACCGTTGAAATTATTATTATTATTATTATGCCTCCACCAATATCGATTATAAAAACCTCCTGCCACGTAATGACGAACGTAACGACACACCAAACTAGCAGCTTGCTTTCGTCAGATCAGTTCCCGCGAAAATGACAACAAACATTTAAAACAAACTCTTTCTCCACGCACCTTCAACGACCGTGATTCACACGCAATTGCTTTTATTTTTATTTTTATTTTCTTTTTTTAACAATTCAGTAACATCTTCAATGGTCTAATTTTTCTTGTCAAGTGGGAGACAGGGAGGAGAAAAAGGAGAGAACAAAAACATGAAAAAGAACCCCCCCCCCCCCCCCCCCCCCAAATTATATTAATGAATAAATAAATAAACAAAAAAACCATTAAAAACATCACTACACGCATTTGTTGAGTACAGAAAAAATCTCGGTTGCAAGAGCATTTTGTCTCTTCTATCTCATATTTTCTCACTTCACCACATTGCCAAAAACTATTCTTAAATATAATTAAGTGTTTTCATATCTCTTTTAGGAACGTTTTATCTCATAAATTTATATAAAATATATTACAATGCAACCTTTCGAAGTTGTCTCACTAGTTTTAAAACGAAAAATGATACCACCCTTACAATAGTTACTCACAAAACAATCACTTCATGATGTGGCAAAATGGTAGACACTAATTTTAATTTTAATTTTATTTTAACCTTTAATCATATGGGGTATGGAGTAATTATTTGTGAGTAGTAAAATTAAAGTATGGGTGCATAACATGATCATTTTAAAAATATTTTTTTTCTTAAAAAAAAAAACTAGTGAACAATTAATATTTATGCATATTTAAAACAAATTTTTTACAAATACACACATATTTTTTATATTTGTATTTTTCCTTACGTGTTTCATATTATGTATAGGAGTGCAGACAAATCAAGTTGCTCAGCTCATAAAATATTTAGTTAAATTATAATTTTAATTGGCTCATTAAGTAATTAAGTTGATTTGAGTTTTAAATTTGTTGGTTCATGGAGTTGCACACATATATGTTGTCTAAATTCATGCTCTATTCTAACTAATAAAATCAAGTTCAAGCATTGTAAATATTAGTGAACTGAACTCGAGTTTATACTTTTAAGCTCAATTGAGTTTAAGCTTGAACTCCAAACTGTTTAAGATTGAGCTTGACAAAATTAATTAGTTTGCACTCTTAATCTTGCATAAAAAAAAAATTCGTGTAATACAAATGCAAATTCATTTGGTTAAATTCAAACAAAATAAAAATGCTTATATAGATTCAAATTTGCATGGTGACAAAAAAAGTTAAGGATTCTTATAATTTTATGAAGGTGGCAAAAAATGATGATGCTGATGGAACATGTTTGAATGTTAAAACATGTGACAAAGATGAAAAGTTGTCATTATATTTGTAGGATTAAAAGTTTTTTTTAAAGCATATAAAAGACCACAAATTATTCTAACAATGCACATGACACTTTCCAATTGTTATTTGTATAGCTAGAAATAACAATATTTTTAAAGTTAGAGAGCTGGAAAAAAAATTAAGAATTAAGAGTAAAAATGGTGGACATTGCCCATCGGACTCATTAGACAAAGTATACAATATTTTTCTTATTATGTGATACATTATAGATTTTTTCTAAAGTGTCGATTTTATATATATTTAGTTATATCCAGTACAACTATTGACAGAATAATGGAACATGTATCTAATTTGGAACTACCCAAAGAAGGCCAACAATCACATAACGGAATCATTTACTCTAGGTTTATTCAAGATACGTGACAATTATGGTGAATAATGTAGACTCGACTCATTATGGCTATGAGATCGTTACTTAAGCAGAAGAACGTTGGAGGCACTAGTATATGTAGGAGGCTCTTCGTTAAGTAAAGGACACGCTGAATATTTGTACTGAAACTCTAAGCAATAGAACTTGTTTACTTTTATAATATTATCCGATAATCACATATTTACCGTCAACTATATATTTATGCTTAATTATCCTGGTTATTGAATTGTTAGCACTTGTGCCAACAATAGAACCAAGTATGTACCACGTACAATTCAACAATATTATTAACACCATAAAATTTGTCATACATTATAAGTGTACCAGTTACCGTCAAGACTTTTGTCAACCATACCTAATATAACTAGGTATGCACTAGGTACAATTCAACACTACTGCAAACACCATAAAAATTCTCATACATTATAATTGTAGTGATTACTGTCAACACCTGACTAACAATACATGATAAAACCAAATATGTAACATGTAGAATTTGACAATAGTGCCAACACCATAAAAATTCTCATATATTATAATTGCATTAGTTACTAATAGCACCTATACCACCAAATACTTGGTAAAATCATGCATGTATCAGGTGCAATTTAACACTGATATAGTGATGTTGATACCTAAGAAATTCTCATACATTATAATACTAGTATTGTGTACGTGCGATGCGCGAAAAATTCATGCCCAATATTAAAACATTGATAAATATAAATAATTAAAAATTATAATTTGAATTATATATATACAAATAATATATGTATTTTGTACACACACATATATAATTTATCATTCATAGAAATTTAATTAAAATATAATTAAGTATTAAATTAATATATAATAATTTTAATAAAATGATAATTAAAAATAGGAAAAAGATATGATAGATATAGGTGTATGGTAATAATGATGTGTTATTAAAGTTAGAATTAAAAATTAACGGTGTAAGGATAGTTTTGTCTAATACCATTGAAATGTACAATATTTAAAGTAAAATGTACACATTTATTTGCATACAAAAAGAGGGACATAAATCAAGGATATAACTTTCATTGAGGCTTATTATGTTTTTAGATAAACTAACATATACAGAGTAAATCATCAAACATATTAATCTCAAATATAATTAAACTTTGATTAAAAGTAATCTATTGGCGAACACCCTCAAATATCACAAGGGCACAAATTTAATTCTTGGCATAACTCTTTTTGTTAAGTTTATTGCACTTTTTTTTTTTTTTTAAATGTGATTCATATCTCATGTGTGGTTTGTGAGTTATTACATGCAAACATAATTTATTTGATGTGGATCATCAAATAATGATAGTGAATTTTCCGAGTAAAAATATTTTTTTAAAAATCTCTTTTTAAATAAGTTTCAAATCCGTATCTAGGGCAATTAACGAATCGAACACAAACAAACAAAGATTGTTCGTGTTCGTTTGTTAAGATTTTTAAAAATCTTGTTCGAATTTGTTTGTTAAGCGTTCGTTGTTGTTTGTTAGTGTTCACGAACACGTTTGCGAGCATGTTGTTAACATTAACGTTAACGAACACGTTCACGAACGCTGAACAAACAAACACATGTACATGTTCATGATCATAATTTGTTCGTGAACAAGAAATAGTCTATATTCACGAACAATAACCAAACAAACGACATAACAATTAAAAAAAATATTAACTTTTAAAAGCAGTATCTTAAAATAAAAATAAATAAATAAATAAATAAATAGCACTTAAATGAGTATGTTCGTGAATCATCTTAAACGAACATATTCCCAAACACAAAACAAGACGATGTCTATAAATATTATTAAACAAAGACCATAAATATTATTAAATGAAACTGACAAACACTTTCACGAACTCTTAACAAACAAACATATAATTGTTGAGATATATTCGTTTACCTTAATAAACAAAAACTTACCAAAATAAACATAAATAATTTATCAAAAACTCTTTTGGTTAACCACCCCACTCAAATCCTTTATCTCCCCCACAAATTAAAATTAAAATACTAGAAATGGGAGAACAGGGTCTGACATATGATACCAGAAATATAGGGTGTATGTACAGAGGGGAAATGTGGCAAAATTTGATTTGACTGTAACAAACGACAACACACAAATTCACCATTTTTGGTATTATAATACTCCCATATGGATCACTACACACACACCACGCATAGATAGATGCATATGCTACGCACATCATTCTGCACATATACATACATCATCCTGTACGTATACCCCCGGGGGAGGGGAGAAAAAGAAAGTCGGGACATTTTCCTTTGATTTTATATGGAATTGCTGAAAAGACGTCAGCGTCCACCTTCTTCTTCTTCATCATCTTCATTATCATCATCGTCTTCTTCTTCTTCTTCTTCTTGCTGCTGCTCTTGTTGTTGTCGTCCTCTGTCCTCTGTAAAAGCCGCATGAGCTGGAATCTGAGCTAGGGAGTAGGGTTAGGAATTGGCGGGAATATTATTATTATTATTATTTTCTGTTCGAGCTAGCTTGCTAGGCACTGTTTGGTGCTGCTGGAGGAATTGAACAGTTTTGTGGAAGTTTGGATTGAGAATTTGGGTTAGTTGAGTTTTTGAGTGAAAGTGATATTTGCTGGTTGTTGCTTTAAGCTTTTGGTAGCGCCTTTTGTGTGTGTGTGTGTTACTTTCTCTCTGTTTGTTTTGTTTTTGGCCAAACAGATCTTCGGATGTGCTAAGCTTCTTTTACTTTTTTTTTGATTGTACAGAGAGCAAGAGCTCAAAGCAATAAATCCGTATTTGTATTTATAATTCTGTGTTTTAGGTCTTTAATCCTTCTTTTTGTTGTTATTTTTTGTATATTTGTGACTTTGATCGAGTGTTTTATACAGAAACTTGTACATAATTGGTTTAGTTTTTAGGAAATAAATCTGTTCTCTGTTGACTGACAAAACTAAGAAATTTTGTTCTTAGTTATGGTTTCTATGGTCTATGAAAATTTGGTCCTAGATTCGTCTATTTGATTAAGAACACTGATTGAGAAAGGGAAAAAGAATTCCTGAGATTTTAGCTATTGAAATTCTTCTGTTTTTTGAAGAAGATGAAAAATGTTTGTCTGTGTAGAAACCAGAAAGCTTGTCTGATCTTGTGATTACCTAGTATCGAAGAAGCTGATTTAGTTTGTTATCATTTCATCAGTCCAGGCAAAATGAATTCTACGTATACGCAGTTTGTTGCCTCCAAAAGAATGGGCATCTGTGATCCAATCCATCAACTCGGGATGTGGGGAGATTTCAAGGGAAATGGCTTCGCAACCCCGCCTGCAGCAACCATGATTCTAGAAGTCGAGAAAAGCCTAGACAATCCGATGCCAGTGATTGCGAAAACACTGGACAACCAGGTTTGTGTCAGTCTCTTTATATTTCATGTGATATACTGCGTTGTTATTTGCCAAACTGAACTGATTTATACCATTGGAATGGCTAGATGGAGGACTTGTCACAAGGATCTTTAGGACCTTCTAACAAGTATGAACACGAAGCAAGTAAACCAATTGAGAAGGTTGAGACATCTATTACCTTGTTAATTCTTCTATTGTGAATTACTTTTCCTGATATTACATACTCCCGTCTTATATAGGTTAATCAATCAGGAGTTTTGCATACTTTTTGCTTCTTAGTGCTGTATTTTGTGTCTTCTCACACATCTTCGTTTAGCTTCACATCATCAGTTTTACTGTATTGATAGATTGAGCTTTCACTTTTTCCGGTTATAGAGTTGCCTTTGGTCTGATGTATCATTCTAGCTTGAGGAAGATTTTCACTTAAAAAAAAAAAAAAAAAAAAAAAAAATTAACTTTTTTCTTTTTTTTCCATATTGTGGTTTCATACTTTATACACCACCTACTCGATGTGTTCCATTTCTGAGAAGTATTTATCAAGACGTTTTTGTGTCTGCAGGTTTTTTTTTTCTTTTTCTTTTTCAAATTGCTTCTTGGATTGATAAATTTATTCTATTAATGTAATAAAAAGACAGCTGTTTTTTTTTTAAAAGTCATATTCTGCTTCATAATTGAATGATTTATTAAGAAAAGTAAAGTTCTAAGTGCTATTATATACTTTATTGTTGAAGAGAGTGATGCATCCAGTGCTTTAAAGACTAAATTGAGTTTGTATATATTTGACTGCATATAGTGAGAAGAACTATATTTGTAATGCTCTTATTCTTCAGATACTTTTAATGAAAGCAAATTTGGATAATTTATTTCTTTCTCCTTGTCAACTAAACCTTCCTTTTGTGTACAGGTACTGAGACGCCTGGCACAAAACCGTGAGGCTGCCCGTAAAAGTCGTTTGCGGAAAAAGGTATTATTGAGTTATATTATGCTGAATCCCTTATGAAGCTTAACTTCTGGTTGCAACTTTTTTTTCTTATTACATATTGGAGAATCAATATGATCATTGTGACATTAACGTTGTACTCTTCATCTTGTTTCTTAGGCCTATGTTCAGCAATTAGAAAATAGTAAACTGAAACTGATTCAGATGGAGCAAGAACTAGACCGAGCGAGACAACAGGTGATGAAGTTTTCCTTGGAATTTTGGTTTTATGCAGATCTGGCTCAGTACTTCATATCGTCTTTACATTTAAGAGAAAGATATCTAATAAATGAATGAATGTCGTTTCAACAGGGTCTATGTGTAAGTGGTGGATTAGATTCTAGTCTGCTAGGTTATTCTGGATCTCCAAACTCAGGTTTGTAGGTTTATATAATGTAATGTTTCATATCGATGGAAACATTTGTGCTCTTGTATCGGAGCCTATTGTAGCCAGCGTTTTTTGTTATGTTTGCTTGCTGCGGGTGCTCTTTCTAAGATTAACTATTCAGATGATTCCTTGAACTGCAAAATAGCATTAATGAAACAATAACATGTAAGCGACATTGCTAATATATAGCCATCTATGTTGATTAACATTAATTACAAGATCATGTATAAGCTGTTGGTGTGCTACAACACAAACTAACGAAATTACAGGATTAATATGTTTTCTTTTTAAAATTTAAAAGATGTGCATTATCCTGCTTTAAAAAATGATGTTTCTACAAATAAAAGAAGTACCTACCTACTTGTCCCCCGCCCCTGGCAGTGCAAATGCAGTTATTTAAACTACATTATACTGTCAGACTTTCACGTTTTATTGGGTTTTTCTTTTATGTTTTAATTAACTTCCGGAAGTATTTGCTAGACTTTTGTTCTTAATGCATTTATTTGCAGAGGCTTGTTATTATTCAGAACTTTCACCATGTTGTGTCTCATATCCTATTTGATTTATCATAGTTTTGTACTTGTTTTTTAAAAAATAATTCTTCCGAGTTTCCATTAGATCTCAGCCCCTCCCTTATTGAACCTGCAGCCATTACTGCATTTGAGATGGCATATGGACACTGGGTGGAAGAACAAACTCGACGAATAAATGACTTGAGGAATGCTTTGCATTCTCAGGTTGGTGATATTGAATTAGGCATTCATGTTGAGAGTTGCAGGAATCACTATATTGATCTTTTCCACATTAAAGCAACTGCGGCAAAGGCTGATGTCTGCTACATTATATCCGGTGTGTGGAAGACACCAGCTGAACGTCTTTTCCTTTGGATTGGAGGTTTTCGTCCTTCAGAGATTCTAAGGGTAATCCTTAATTTATCTTAACCCACCATGCTCTTAATATACATAAATTTATGTTTAGATAACAGAAGAAAAGATTCTCCTAAGAAGAATCCATAATAAAGATGCTTAAAGTTGTGCATGAATCTGAGTAAACTAAACATTTACCATGCTTGCTTTCTATCAGAAACCCATGTGCATTCGCTTATACGTCTCATCTACATTAGCTTAGAGACTGGAGTGTACTGAGTCGATTCTCCCAGTGGAATCTGAAGGAGCACCTTTTCTGTATTCTTTAATGTTGTATCTATATTTAGCAATCTCTTACACCAGTAAAACTATTTCGAAATAATAGTCCGGGGTCTCTACGTGTCTATACTAATATAAGTTTTAACAGAACCATACATCTATGAATTCAACTTAGTACCACCACTATCACTGCAATTGCTGCTAACATTCGTGTACTATTATCACATAGCAGAAGTTATTTGGGTGTAGGTTTGCTTGGATAATTCAGTTTATTCTTGTGTTAATCTGAGCTATGTGGGTAGAAGATTGATTTTCACTCATAATCTGGAGCAAGTCTGGAAATCAAATTCATACAATTTGACAGAAAATTATCAAAGCTAGTATCATTGATGTCAATTAATATCAAGTGCTCGGTGTCGTTGTGAGTTGGAATTACATCATTCCTTGAATTTATGTATACGCCGTTTGTTTCTTGTTGATTGTACAGTTCAGTCACCCCCTGATGGTGCTTCCCCGGTATCCTTTCTCCAGTCAAGTAAATTGAGAATTAGGGTGTGTTTGGTTGGTGGGTTTTGCCCATAGGAATGGGTATGAAAGTGATTGTTGTTGTTTGGTTAATAGGTTTTTAGAACACTACAATGGGTTTCGAATACCCCATCAATTGAAAAACACATACCCAAATACAATAAGGGTTTCATTCCCTTATTCATTCTTAACCACTACTATTAGTAACCATTCCCATTCCACCCTACTACCAAACATGTTAAATACTTTCACCAAAACCCATTACCATTACCAAGTATTTGATACCCATTCCGATTCCGATTCCTATGTGCGAACCAAACACACCCTTAGTTTGTTATTCCCAAAAAAAAAGAGTAGGAATTGAATTGAAAGTAGAATGTTTTTCTATTTAGTTCAGCTTCTTTTCTCTAGAGAACTTGGATGAACAGGATCTTACTATTACCAATGGTAATCTACAATCAAAACAATTGCATAATCGAGATTTACATTCACCTGCAGGTTCTCATGCCACATCTTGAGCTCTTGACAGAAGAACAACATCAGAGTGTTTCTACCCTCGCTCAATCTTGTCAGCAGGCAGAAGATGCTCTAACGCAAGGAATGCTTAAGCTTCACCATTTTCTGGCAGATACTGTTTCAGCAGGCCAACTAGGTGAAGAAAATTACCTCCAACAGATGCATTCTGCAATAGAAAAGTTGGAACATTTAATACGGTTTGTAAACCAGGTAATAAACTTATTGCGATTGATTTTTGCTTTTCTGATCAACATTCCAGCATCTAATGATAGTTCAGTACTACAAACTAAACATAAACTTCAATTTTTTGTTTCCAAAACAGGCGGATAACCTTAGGGAATTAACCCTAAACCAGATGTCTCACTTCTTAACAACCCGCCAAGCAGCAAGGGGCCTTCTCGCCTTGGGGGAGTACCTTCAACGACTGCGCACTCTGAGCTCACTTTGGGCAAACCATCCTCGTGAGGCTGCTTAACAATGTGAACCTCAAGAGTCTCCCCACCTTTCAAACTCAATCAGCTTTACCAGCCTCCCGTGCAAGTCTGGTATGGATATGGATACGGAGCGCAAATCTCAACTGCTGTCAACTTGGAGGCCACTTGCCATGATTGCCGATTTGTGAATATGTTGATCTGTTGTGTCATGGAAGTTTGCAGTTGCAGTTTCCTTTCATATACATATATTTCTTTGCCGGTAGGCGTAGTCTTGAACAATATATATGAGATATAAAAAAAAAATGCAGTGGTGAAGTTTGGTATTGATAGTGTCAACTGTATATTGCAGCATCTATACTAATGTTAGGGCTATTTTTGGATGCTTTGGGGTTGAACAGTTGCTCAGTTTAAAGAAAAGAACAAAAAAATGGTAGGCAAAAACAACACTGTATTGCAAATTTTATACTGTGTTTATAGTAACATTAGTATTCTGAATGTTTTCTATTTATATATATTTTTTGACAGGTCTATAATTTTAAATGTACTCTGGACTTCTGGGGACCGAAGGAATATGAACATATGATAACAATTGCAATCGAAAAACATTAATAGATTGGTGTTTTCATTTCATGGTTTTTCCCTGTTAATCCACTTGATATTGAATACAGAAGCTATAACTTTGAATTTGCATTTTCTGCTTCTGTTCAGACAATCTTATTGCACTTCACAACTGCATCAATGGTGTCGAAGCAAAACCTGGATTTGGATTTTCGTCATCTAAACACTCACAGCTTTGAGATGCCATAGTCCAGTGCATCGACTAGGAAATCTGTGAATGAAATACGTGTGAGTCGGAGAAAATGTAGATTGAACCATGGTAAAGCATGAGGGAGTAATACAGAAGTTGTTCCACTACTACATAAGTCGGGAGAATACCTGCATCGTCTTTGGTGAAGCACATCGGAGGCTTTATTCTGAAAACGTTTCCATGTAGACCACCTTTTCCAACTAGAACCCCGAGCTCTACACTCAAAATGAAGTCCAGTGAGCAATTTTGATAAAAAACAACACAACAAAATCTACTCATCCTGTTCCGTTTTCTAGTAGTTATGTAACAGATTACCTCTGAGCTTCTCAAACACAACTCCAGTTTCCGCCTTGGCAGGTGTCTTCAGTTTCCTGTCGCTCACTAGCTCAATTCCCACCATCAACCCCCTGCCTCTCACATCTCCAATTACTGACCGATCAACACGTCAGAAACACACAGTAGTTAACCAGTATACAATCAAATATAGATATTATGCATGCAGATAGAATGATATTCCATATCAGAAGAATGGGAAGGAGGCAATTGGAAAATTACTGTCATGTTTTTGTTGTAAATCTCGCAGGCGTCCAATCAAATGAGAGCCAACTTCAGCACAATGCTTTTGACGTTCCTCCTTGTCAATAACTTTAAGCACTGCATGTCCACCTGCAGAGCATACGGGGTTGCCACCGAAAGTATTAAACTGTATCTTTTGAGCCATCACACTGGCTATTTCTGGTGTGGTCACAACCGCCCCAAGAGGTAAGCCATTGCCGATTCCCTGAACAGTATAGCATCTAAAGTAAGACATTTCTGCAAACAATGTGCAAGACACCCTATGTGATGCACATATAGTGGCACCGGGGCTTGCTACTGGTCTCAAACATTTAAAGCATGTGCAAAAAGATTAAACATGTGATCCATCACAAACACCTTTGCCATGGTGACAATGTCAGGAACAACGCCTTGTGTCTGGAAACCCCAATAGTGGCTACCAGTACGACCAAAACCAGTTTGTACTTCATCAGCTATGCACACACCTCCAGCCTTGCGAACAATATCATAAACCAGCTTCAAGTATCCGGGTGCTAATTCAACTGCTCCCCCGACTCCCTGAAGTTGACCAAGCAGAATGATTTGCACTATTACGAGTGTTGAATGATTCAAAATAAAATACCACTTTCAAGCATTACAAGCACACAAAGAGCACACACCTGAATGGTTTCAGCAATAAAACCTGCGACTTTTCCTGAAGTGCCATGATCAATATGTTCTTGTACATCATCAGCATAACACTGAGCATCAGCTCCAAACACTCCACGATATGGATTGGGGTTCAGAACATGATGGATTTCACCCTGCAAATTATTGCAGAAATGGTAATACAAAGCTAGTTAATTCAATCAAAACTACAAGCTATTGGGTGCACCAGACAAATTTAATAATGTATCAACTCAAAGGTTATAAACATTTATGCTGAAAGGTATAAAATGACACTCTTTATAAGCCAGATTTAAAGACCAACCTGCGGAATAGGATACTTCCATGTGTTGAGAGCATTCAGTCCAATTGTGCTAGAACTTCCACCATGATATGCATTTCTTAAGGCAATCATACCCAGGTTACCACTATATAAGCGTGCCATCAACGTTGCCAATTCATTCGCTTCAGTCCCTGAATTTACAAAATATACAACCTGTAGTTTCAACAGAAACTATTATTCAGAAATTCGTTCCGAGTCATCGCGGTGCAGAAACATACTATTAGCACAATTATTCACATTCCTAAATCACATTGCACTCAATAGATAGCTGCAAAACAAAAGGAACAATAGATTATGATTCAACCTTTAGGTTTCCAGGCATTTTAGCTGCTAATGCCTCAGCATAATCAGCTATTGCATGGTGCAGATATATGGTAGTAGCATGTTGAAGAAGCTTGTTTTGTTCTGTGATGGCATCTAAGATGTCTGGATGGCAGTGACCACAGGACACAGTAACTATTCCAGCAAAAGCATCTAGATACCGCTTTCCATTCTCATCAAACAAATATTGCATCTTCCCTTCAACAATGTTGAGCTGCCCAAATACGCAAACCAAAACAATTTAAATAAATAAATAAATAAAAATTGATACTGGAGTTTGTAACATTCACATAGTATAGATCCACAGAAGCACATGGCTGAAAATAAAATCTCTCTGCATTCACCGAGAACTGCAAACAAAATGTGCGTGTATAGCGCGACCTATTGGCCTTCTTAGTTTGAAACGTTCAACAATAGACAATCTAGGTTGGTTTACCATATAAAAGTTCACAAATTACACCAGTAGAGATAAATCGCAATCGCACTAGGAAGACCACATGCTAGGAAGATCATATGCTTAAAACCGCTATTGACCATCTAGGTTGGTTTACCGTATAGAAGTTCACAAATTAAGATAAATCTCAATCGCACTAGGAAGATCATATGCTTGAAACAGCTATTGACAATCTAGGTTGGTTTACAGTATAAAAGTTCACAAATTACACCAGTAGAGATAAATGCGTGTATATACATATATAGGCATACATGAAATGAAATGAAAAGGTAAAGAGGAAAGGGATATACATACGGGCTTCTGGTAGTAGTAAAAGAGAGAGGGCCCCAAGTACTTGTTCCTCTTCTCCAGAACCTCATCGGCCAAGGGTCCGTTGTACGGCCTCGGCTGGTAGTCAAACGGCGGCAGCTCCGGCGGAGACGTCGCGAAACCGCGCGGAGCCCCAATCCAGCCGCATTTTGGCCGGAGCGATCTCAGGAGGGTTTTGCTCAACAGTTTCCTCTGTAACGCCATCGCTTACGCTTAGCCGCCGATCACGATTCACAAACACGTAGGAATTTGGTCATACATATAGTCAGAGTGTAGAGCCTATCGGCTGAGGTGGATGTGAGTTAGCTTTACACTACACAACACTGAAAGATTCCCTTTTACAATGATACGGTATCTTTTTTTTTTTTTTGAAAACAATGATACGGTATCTTTACTAACCTTTTATGAAATATCACGCCATTAAATAAACATTTTTTTTTTTAATGAAAACCAACATTTCTACAACTTGTAATCCCAATAATAAGATATTTTATCATGTGGTCTAATAAAAGTGTATACTTAAATTTTTATTTATTTTTATATATATATAATCAGATTTTTCAATTTCGATGGATTATATCTTAGATCTTATAAATTCACTTTATACTCATGATAAGGTAACTTCAAGCCCAACACTTGGGTATATTATATTCTGAAACACGGGGTATATCTACTATACTATATATATATACTAATAAGAGCCCAAGAGAGTTAGGTCTATAATTGGTAGAAAAAATGGCGGTCACAGATTTTAATCAAATGAATGGCTCAGATTGATTAAAAGATTGATCAGATTTAAATTTTACACTAAATTTCCTAAAATACCCACACACTGTTACTAATTCCGTTAAAATTTTAAGAATTGCCGTTAGTTCACCGTTAACTTACTCATTGATTTCAATAAAAAAAAAAAAAAAAAAAAGGTCTTAGGTTCGAACCTCATCCCAATCAAAGTTGGCATAATTAGTACTCTATTTTACTCTTATTAAAGTATATAAATAATAATTTAGTAGTTACAACAAAAAATAATACATATGCATTTCTTTAATTTAGAATTATGTGTCCACAATGCCTTTATTCAAAAAAAAAATTATTCATTATCAATAAATTAAATAAGAGAAATAATTTTATTAGTTATATTGTCTTTATTTTTCTTCAATATAAAAATTCTTTATATTCAAATTTATTAATTGATTATATTCGTTACATTGTTCTTACAATGTCTTTATTCAGTGAAAAAAAATTATTAATTATCAATAAATTAATTAAAAGAAATATTTTCATTAGTTAAATTGTCTTTATTTTTCTCAAATGTAAAAATTTTTACATTCAAATTCATCAATTGATTATATTCACTACATTATCTATTATGTTTTTTGTGCACTATTTTTCTAATTAAATATCAAAGTTATAATACAAAATAATGCTATATATTTATTTACCAAGTATTTTATTAATACCATGAAAAAATTAAAAAAAATATAATTAATAAAGCCAACCATATTAACTACTTTGAGAGATTTTGTGACAAAGAGAGTATTCAAATCACACAACAAATTGAAGTGAGAACTACCTCGCAATGTCCTTGTTTGACAATCAGCAGTTAGCGGATTATACTAGCGGATTTGACCAGCGAATTTATTTAATTATTAACATTGGGTAGAAAAAAATGACCGCCAAATTATTAAATCAAATGAATGGTTCATATTGTTCAGGTTATAATTTTTTTCTTTTAAGATTTTCTAATTTATCCTTAATTATATGATTATCCATTTAACTTTTTCGTTAATTCACCGTTAGTCTAATTCTAATATTAAAGTCTAATATAGAATTATAACTACACCATTAATCTAATTCTAATATTAAAGTATTAATAGAACTTAACCACAAATCTTAATGTCGAAATCTCTTCAAACAATATTAGTATATATTTAATATTTTATGCCCTAATTTTTATGTGTTCTCCCTTATGTCCCGTATTTGGTTTTAACTATACCTATACAATTATTTTATTGACAATTATAATCAATCTTGATTATATTATCTTGCATTTGTAAACTGAGAATTACCCG